TCCTCCCGCTGTCGCCCAGGAGGACGACCAAGACTCATCCTATTTCGGGGTTTTCAACGCAATCGTCGTGGTCGTTGCCCTTTACCTCTTGGCTTTCGGGTTCCTGCCCAACCCCAGCGCTTTGGCGTCTTGGGCGTTTGCCGTGGTTTTGGTTGTTCTGTTGGCGGCGTCGTTGGGAATTCCGGTCCACTCTTACTTGAAATCGCGAGGGTTGAAAGAGGGTGTGGATGTGGATGTGGAGGAAGCGTTGCTTGTCGAAAACGTGAAGGGGAATGAAAGTGAGCCAGAGTTCTTTCCTAGGGTTTCGACGCCGCGGCGGGTGTACGCGCACTATGTTGAACAAGATGTCTTTATTAGAAAGAGGGAAAGGAAATAATAGGAGGGAAATTAAAAAAATAATATTTTAATTAATTAAAATAATATTACCCAGGGTTTCTAAAAATCACTTGGCACTTTCCCGGGGTTTGAAATCAAACCCCTATAATTTAACTAGGGTTATTAAAACTTCTGTAAGTGTTTATGTTTCCAGGGGTTATAGTAACCCCAGTTAAATAACCCCAGTTAAAAACATAATTTCTTGTAGTGCTTTGTATGTGTTCCCTTTTGTGTATTTCTATGTATATATGTTATTTCTTAAGCTTTTAATCTTCTTATATAGTGGCTCGAAGAAGATGATCGTTGCAACACTTTGAGTCCATCTCACAAGTTTGTTTCGTATGTTTTCATCATTTTTCCTTTTGATGACAGGTAACCATTTGATTCATTTAATATGAGTATTAAATACATTTCACCAAATGGTATCTCTTATCTGATTAAGAATGTCATTTATCAACTTTCTATACTAAATAGAGCCTATAGAAGCAATGTCAGCGTAGAGTAGCTATAACAGTGACTTTATATGCTTTTTTCCATGATTTCAGGGATTTTGGTTGTAATGGAAAAACATGATTTTTCCTTTAATAGATTTATGAGTTGCAATATGGCTTTCTAGTTTGATCTATTAAGGAATGAAAAATTCAATACAAAGTTTATCATTAGTCTCAATAAATAATAAGCATTTAATGTATATGAGATAGATTGTATGTTTCGGTTGATTCACATTGTCTTATAGATAATTTGTGTCTTACACTTTGTTTGATAAGTATTTTCAAAGATATTTTTGAAGACATTTTCTCTTATAAAAATGTTTCATTTGTTAATAGTAAAACTTTAAAGTTTGATGGATTCAAGATCATCTTTTGACTTAACAAATAGTTAATTAACTTAAAACATCAAATTTTATTTTAGCTTACTACACTCGATGCCATCTTTCCCATGCCTAGTGTCATTGAGGCATAAAGCCTGAGGCTTGCCCATGCTTGGCACCAATCCACTACATCTAGCATATATTAGGTAGAGAACATCTGAGTCAATCACTTTTAGTGTGTGCAAACCCATATCCAACCTCGTTTAAGCAAAAATTCTCTATCTGACTCATATTTGGTGTCACGACACTAGTGCTTAATATCGTCTATGCAGAAAGCATTTGTTTTGACCATGCTTGACATCACTCATTGGGGTTTGACGTCATCAAGTTAAAAGCCCCTCAAGTAATTATGTCTGACGCCTCTCATTTCTAAGCTTGACATGGCTAAGTTCGAGAACTTCGCATTGACTTATGCTTAACATTACCAATCTCACACTCAATGTGATTAGGGTAAAGATCCATTGACTTGAGCCACACTTGACACCATGAAGGCTTGTTTGACACGATAATGATTTCCACACATAGCAAAATCACCAAATTGGCTTGAACCTACAATTCCCCAAAAAAATACCAACATGCAATCCATGATTGAGCAATATGCATTATCAATGACTCAAACAATATTAATAATAACATGCAGCCACTCAAAAATCAAATCACTAAATCATTTAAGCACACCTTCAAGAGCACATTTTTAACACCACCTTCAATTTATTTTTTAACCAATTCAATCATTTAATGAATAAATCTAGGCAATAAGCAAAAATTATTTCTCAAAAAAAATTCAATTCACAAACTTCTTTTACCTCTAGTCACTCCACAAGAAAAAAAGATGAGGAAGAAAAAAACACTCCACTTAATTTTTACTTGGGATTCTCAACTTTGAAAGTTTTGAATCGCCAATCTACCTACTAAAATTAGCTGAATGAATGATTTAGAAAGAATTAGGAAAATGAGGGAAGGAAGAATTTCTCTAGTTTTGAAACTTATAATATTAACTTCTCTCTACTTTTTATAAGAATAGAACTTATGAGGTTAATTCTTTAAGAAAAATCTTATGTATCCTTATTCAAGTTAACCTAATTAACTCTAACCAAAATTATCTAAAAAATAACTTAACTTTTAAGAATCTCTTGATCCTAGAGCTCTAAAACATTAATAATTACAATTAATTCAACAATTAATCATATAATTCATCAATAAAACTAAAACACAGTGTTACAATAAAAACTTACAAGATTTTTATATATTTTAAGCCTATATATATATATATATATATATATATTGATACGTTATTGGTTATTTTTGGTCCTGGAGTTTTTTTTTTATCCTTGACATTTTTTTTATATTCTATAGCTAGTTTAATATTAACAGGACTAAATAAACGTATAATATTAATATAATTAAGGTAATAAAAAATATTATAAATTAATATATTTAAATTATTTTTAAGTAACTCTGTAATTTTTTTATTATGCACCTTTTATGAATATTCATATTATGTGAGATGCTTTGTGTATTATTTATTTTTATAATTATTTTTTAATTTTTAATATCTCATGGACACTGATTTTGATTGATTTTAATATTTTTCTTACTTTTCAATTCACTAATTTACTTTTAAAACTGTATTTTTTAAAATCATAATTTATTTAAAGCTTATAAAATTTTTTTGGTCTTTGAATACAAAACTATTGTAATATGTTTATGATTCATTGGAATGCATGTAAGCTTTAAATTATATATTTTAATATTAAATTATTATCTCATTTAGACTGATTAAGTTTTCAAATTTATATTTTCGATAAAAATATTTTTTTAATTTCTCTAAATTATTTTATGCATGCTAATAAGAAAACGCTATTTTTAATTCTTCAAGTAGTTTGGACTGTACAAAAATAATTATTAAAAATTTATTTAAATTATTTAAGAAATGAAATGATGTATTTTTAAATTAGAGAACCAAAATAGATAACAAGACTGAATTCGAACTTAAGATATTTTGGAAAGACTTAAAATATATTTTATTTTATTTTTCATTTTTTTTATTTTAGTAATTATATTTTAATTAAATAATAAATTATATTAGACGATGTTCATGTGATTATCATCCATTGAATTTGATTGTTTACGTCAAAGCTGAGATCAAATGTTTTCTAAAATTATTAAGCCATATTAGACCATTGACATCACATGTCATCCTCATATTAACTTATATACGAATTTAGATCCATTGAAGAATTTTCCAGTTAACCAAAATAGTGAGAGACACAAGGTCATGAATTGATGTGTTATTACTCAATCGTAGAAACAACTGAACTAAACTAGTAACCTATTTGTATTTTTTTTCTTCTCCTTATAATAATAATCTTGATTTGAAATGATGAGAAGCATTTGTGAACACTGAAAAGAATATCTGATGAACATAAACAGTGCATGAAAAAGAAAAATGATGTACCATAAACATAAAGCGGCTTTCTTTGTCTTTTAAGGCCACCACCTTTTCAATGTTTATCTACTTCTACTTCATTTTGCACTTTGCAAAGGCCCCACCATTTTTTAAACACAAATTTGGAAATCAAATTCATCACCTTCCATTTATTATTTACGGGTTAATATGGAAATTTTGCTAACAAATTCTCAAAATCATTTCAGTTTCATTGTGGTCAGAGAAATGGTTAAAAATTACTTTATATATTCTTAATATTAAATGTTTTTAAAAAATTAAATATATATTTAATATTTCTAAAATACTATCACATTTATTTTATTTCTCCACTCATCAATCTACTTTATATTAAAATCATTGAAAAAAAGACACCTTATATCTCTACTATGAAAAATAAGAAAAAAAAATTGTCCAGTTAATTTTAAAAAAGTAAAATAGTTAAGTAAATTAGTTAAGAGAGTAAACATGTCCAAGAGAATATGATACCAATTCAGGGTATTCCTTTATTAATGTTAAAGATTATTTTGTTAATTTTTTTTTTTAATAAATAAGGATTTTAAGAATTAGAATGGTAATTGACATGTTATCTTTAATTTCTAAATCAACGAATAAAAAATTTAGAAACAATTTATAAATTAAAATAAATAAAGAACTTAACTTTTATGTGCCGTTTATATATGTATATATTGTTGATTAATAAAAAAAATTACAATAAGTAACTTTTAAGATAATTACACGCTTATTTACTATATGTATAATGTATTTTAAATATTTAAATTCTTTTATGTGATCTTTTTTACGGTGAAATCTTAACTTTTAATCAGAAGTAAGTGAACAGAAGATTTGAATAATAAAAAAGAAAGATGTAAATTATTTATTGCATTGGAGAGAATCTGAATAATTTAATAATAGTTAATGTATATTTTTAAAATATAATTAAGAGGTATGTTTTTTATTTAAATATATTTTTAATTTTCATAATTTTCTTCTTATTTTTTATCCTTGTGAAATTTAGAAATATTAATTTTAGTTATTATTATTATTATTATTATTATTATGTAATATTTTTTAACTATTTATTTTCTTATTAAGAAGATGACATCAAATATTACCTATAATTATTATGAATGCACATTAGTGTGTGAGTTCTTAAAATAAAACCATACATCTAAAGGGAAATAAAGAAAATAAAAATTCTAACATTTGTTTTTTTTTTTTTTCTGAAAGCAAAATACAACCTATAATTTTGGAAATTGAAAAATTAATTTATAGAAAAGTAAAAAATGATTGTAAATTACGTGAGTGAGTTTTTGGTGTGAAGTATAGTAGAGTGGTGTGTTGCTTTTTTATTCGTATTGTGTTGGTTTGGTGGGAGAGAGTGAGAGAGAGAGGTGGGTACTGAATTCCAAAACTCTTTTGTATTCAGAGTTTGAACGCACAAAGAAAATACAAAGAAGAAGATCACAGTTCCAATTCCAATTCCTTTGGATCTCTCGCAAACATGAGCAGTGGGGAGCTTCTCAACATCGAACCTCTGGAACTCAAGTTCCCTTGTCAGTTACTTTCCCTTTAACTCCCTTTTCTTTCTCTTCATTAGGGTTTCCATCTCATTTTGCTTTCTTCTTCCTGCTTTAGTTGAGCTCAAGAAGCAGATCTCCTCTTCTCTTCAATTGTCTAATAAGACCGATAGCTATGTAGCCTTCAAGGTAACATTTAAAAAAAATAAAAAAAAAAATTTACTTTGTGTTTGGGTAGTTTGGAGTGCGGTTCGATCGTGGGTTTTTGTTTTTGCTTCTGTTGTGAGATCTGGTGATTTTGATTGCGACGTCTCAACTTGACGTACTGTTGTTGTAATGTGGAATTGAAGCGGATTTTTTCGCCACTTTTTATGTGCTTGTACGGTCACTATGGGAAATTTTGGTGTTTATGTTTGGAGTTTTGGTTTTGTTTTTCAGGTGAAAACGACCAATCCCAGGAAGTATTGTGTTCGGCCCAACACTGGAATTGTCATGCCACGATCTACATGTGATGTTATGGGTACTCATATGATTATTTTGAATGCATATTGTTACCTTTTATTTCTGAGTTATGAACTATGATTTTTTGCGGAGTAATGATTTGTGTTCGTCCCCCCCTTTTTTTTTTATGTGTAAATGGAAGTTACCATGCAAGCGCAGAAAGAAGCTCCGGCTGATATGCAATGCAGGGATAAGTTTCTTCTTCAGAGTGTAAAAACTGTGGATGGTACCAGTTCGAAGGATATCACTGCAGAGATGGTATATGCTTCATGTTTTGCTAGTTGCTTTTGCATTTTCATTTGATTTCTTTTTGTTGTCTGAAATTACATGATTTGTGCCTTTGGGATTGTCTAGTTCAACAAGGAGGCGGGGCATGTGGTTGAGGAGTGCAAATTGAGAGTGTTATATGTTTCTCCACCTCAACCACCGTCTCCAGTCCCAGAAGGTTCTGAGGAAGGATCCTCACCAAGAGGTTCTGTTTCAGAGAATGGAAATGCCAATGGTTCCGACTTCATGCAGGTGGGTTATCTACTTATTCTGTTTTAGGTGATCCTTTCTTTTTTCCCATAAAACTCCAAGGATATCAGTTGGGATGCCTTTTCTTGTTGTGTTTTTCAGGCACCAAGAGGATTTACTGAACGACCAGAGGCTCAAGACCAATCTGCTGAGGTAAAGTAGATTTTTTTTATTTTTTATTTTTGTAAATATATGCAATTGAGTTATTAAAAAACAACCTTATAATCTCTGTTGGAGCATATCTATTAGAAGAAAATTCCAATTCCAATAGTTATGTTTAAGTGTTTGCAATGCCTGTTTTTGTCAATCGGAGTTTTTAACAATAGTAAATAGAGGCTTTAGAGATTTCTTGCTCTTACATAGACTCGTTTCTAGTAAATTGTTTTTTGATTGTTTTAAAAAAAAAACTATTGTTTTCATCTGAAGCTAGTCACAAATTTTTATTAATTTTGAACCTCTTTCCAAGCAAGCCATATAATATGAAGGAACATAGATACATACTCATGCTGATGACTTGTGTAAAGAGATGGCTTTCAGAAACAACTTTCTTGAAATTATATGTGTGATTTTGAACTTTGTGTATTACAGAACTGTGGTACTATGAACTAACTTCCTTATTCGTCTATAGTTGCAGTCTGTGTTAATAATTGTCTATGCACTCATATAAGCATAAGAAAAAGAAATACGTGTTTCAAGTTTAAAATTTCAAGTATGAATGCTGCAAAATTTACCTAATGATTAATGATTCCATTTTTCCCTGTGAGATAAAAGTTGATGGATAAGTATGTTTTCAAGTGTCAACAAGAAAGGTTGTTAACTTGATGTATTACTTATCCAAGATTAGGGAATCAATTGTAAATATTTTATTTTTAAAATTCAATCAATAAAAAAAAAAAAACTAGATAAAACCTAGTTTTTTTTTATCCCTCTTCCACAAGCTTCTTTCTCATCCTTGGATGTCTCTCAGGCCTTGCCCCTTGTGTTCAGTTGGGGATACCCATTTCAATTTCTTCCATGTCTCACTTAAACTTCTTTCAAAGAGATCATTATACGCCATGTTGTGTAAACATAACATTTTAATCCTAGAGACTAGAGAGTATCAGTGAAAGAAGGCCAAAAAAGGAAGATTCTGAAAAATCTTTTTGCAACTCCATGACTATTTTGTGCATGTAGCGGTAAAAGAAAAGGTTTAAAGATAAATGTACCACTAGGATGGCTCTAGTATGCCTGTCATGAATAACAAATTTAAGCAACAACAAAGTGGTGGCTTTTGTTATTACTGCTCAAGGCTCAGTACTACATTTACATCTAATATGTCTTCTTTCCTTCTACTATTAAATTACCCGTGATTGGATTATGCAATTCTAGCTTCCATTTGAATTTAAATAATGTAACTACAAATATGAAAGTGATCTGGATAACTAGTTTTTGCAACTAAAATGAGAAACAAATTACTAATATGCAACACAAGAAACAAATCTCCTGTCAAAGAACAGTGCCTTTTTGAAGAAAAAGAAAAGAGAGATGTAAAACCTCTTTGATTTAGTTTATACGTTAATTTGATTTTTAAAATTAATATATTTATTATTTAGTCGCCAATATATTATATATTTATTCATTAACATAAAGTCACTCTCATTCTTTTCCAATTCATTATAAAATCGATCCATTGTATTTAAACTCTTTTTGGCTTGTGTGCTGTAAATTTGCTCTAGCCTGTAACTTCTAGAGTTGGCATCGTTTTGCGACTTTATTTTGATTATGGTTGCTTTGTAGCAGGCTAGAGCTCTTATCTCAAGGCTGACTGAAGAAAAGAATAACACAATTCTACAAAATAACAAGCTCCGCCAGGAACTGGTGAGGATTTACAGTATATGATATATAACTTTGTTTACCCATATGTCTGATATATATTTATTTTCCTTTTGGTGATGGGGAATTTTAATCTGGAACGTGAGCTCCCTCCAGTCGAATGAGAATGATTCTGCTTCTTGTTGTAGTAGTTTCCTTGGATATTTTTTTTTATTGTCTTAGTCTCTGAAACATCATCAGATATTCAGTCTAACTATTTATTTTGAAACCCTGCTTGCACTAAAAAGTAATTGAAAACAAATGATATGGGGGTAACAGGTCTTGTCGAGGTAACTTTAGGAGAGGGACTTAAATAGAATCTATGCTCTAGTTTTCTTGGTAAAAAAATATTTTGTAGGGTCTTCAATAAGTCTTTTCTTTTTCATGTCATTGGGTAGTGTTTGTGAGCTTCAATTATTCGGTGTTAGGAAAACTAATGAATGTGGATTTTCTGCATGAGCATGTGAGTTCAGTTTTACGGACATTTGTGCAGAAATGATTGATATCTGCGCTTCATGTTGTTTCATATTAATTCCATATCTAAGATGTGTTTTTGAATGTGAATGATAACCAAACAACCGAGTATGATTTCATTAGTATTAAAGCAAGTGCCTTATTATGTGCTGGGTCTTATTTATATACCGTGGATAGCTTTGGACGAAATGAAACACTACACTTGATGCAATAATTTTACTATTTGTAGGAGCAACTGAAGCGGGAAAGCAACAAAAATCGCGGTGGAGTCTCATTTGTCGTTGTCGTATTAATTGGCTTAATTGGCATAATTATGGGGTATCTCATGAAGTAGACCTAAGCATTTATGAGATTTGATCTTTCAACATAGTTTTCGATCTTAGTTTATTTGTTCCTGACTATTCAAGCAATTGTGAGGAAAGTTAAAATAGATCAATTCAACAGATGTTGGTTTTTATTTTTATTTTTCCCTGGCTCTTTTCTTTTTCTTTTTCTTTTTTCCTCTTCTTTTTTTGGGGTGGATAATATTTTGGTAGAAAACATTGGGGGAAATTGTGGGTCTGTGGTTACTCATTGTGAACTGACTCATACTTTCGGTAACATGCATTCTTTTTGTAACTTAAATAGGGGAAGCTCCTTGTTTCTCTTTGTGTCTCATCTATTGACTATATGGTTATGTTAAGTCGTCAACGATGACCACGAAAAACATCAATCTTCATGGACTCTCTCGTCCTTCATGTCAAAAATGACCGTTAGATATGGAATAACGGCAGCTTGTCTATAAGTCACTGATAATTTTTGGTCTTTTTGACTAGGGTATTCTTTGAAGTATTGACGTGAAACTTATCCTTTTATAACCCTGTTATAACTTGGCTTCTTACTGTAAACGACACGCAAAATTGTTATAATGAAATGCTCATGCATCCTTTCATTTGTGTTATCGGATTAAGATGTGTATGCCTTCACGTCTATAATTTAGAGCAGGGTATTTCGGTGATTTAAAGGGAGAAAATGAATCATTTTATCTATTTATTAAACGTTTTTACTTATCTCAAGTCAACCACATATGCTGAAAGGGAACAGTAATTTAACTCCAAAACCAAAACCAAAACCAACTTGAGCTGTGTTTCTGAAAAGGTTACATTCAACCTAACTTTTAATTAAATGGGACATAGTTACTTTTCTGGATAGTGCATTAAAATGTGTAAAAATTCATTGAATAGATTTTAAATGATAAATCAAATACATACTTCATCCTTTAGAGGAGAAATAAGCTGCGTTAGCATCTAATTGAGTTTGTTAATATTAGTAGGAATACTTACGGATTGGATTTTTAAAAAATTCAAATCAAATTGATTTGATTTATTTTATAAAAATGGATATATTCCTTGATATGTTTTTTTATAAAGTAGGTTGGTTTAGTTTTTTTTAAAATTCAGGTTGAATTTTTTAAATCTGAATTGGTTTAATAGAGTGTGATTATCCACTTATATATGGTTTTTTTTTTCAAAAAATCAAACTAATCTACTTTGTAAAATTGAATACGTAATTGAGCTGAAAACTTTAATTTATTCATCAAGTGGGTAGAAAATGAGTTCTTACTTAACTCATTAGTTTGAGTAACCATAATAATTTTTTTTATCAAGTAATGTCACGTTTTAATTACATATGCAATTAAAAAAAAAGACAGTAGCAAATTTGAATATATTTTACCAAGTCTATTTAGACATTTGATTTTTAGCATTTGAACAAGTCCTAAAGAGACAAAAAAGTTACTTACAATCACGGTCTCAATTTTATTCATGGTTACTGTCTCAGTTCTCTATAGTAGTCTATACTATTGATCCGTTCTTATTTTCTGCTTTCCTATAAGTAATAACTAGTCTAATATATTTACTTAGGCCTAATTATCTGGTATCAATCTCGGAACAAGCAAAGCCAAAATTTGATTGCATGCTTCCTCTCTAATTCCCCTCTTATCTATTTTAGTATTTTTATTCTTCTTGTTATCAAATCTATAAGAAACCTACAGGGAAAGACAGCAAGTGTAGTGCTTATTGATTACTCAACCAATTAAAAATTAAGATACATAAATTAAGTTGCAAAAGTCTACAAAAACCTTGTTGAATTTATTTTAATGTTTTAAATGTTTTATTGGTTGTGTTTAAGAGCGATCTTGTTTGTTATGTTGACTAGATTTATGTGCTACGGAAAGTCCTAACGCTGTGAATAAAACAAACGAATTAATTTATATATTGTAGGTACAATATAGTTTTTATTAGATTAATGTTAGTGAGAGTGAGTTAAACATATAGAGAGGGAGTTGGGTGGATCATTGGCACTCTGCAGAGTGTTGCTTCTAATGCTTTCATCCCCCAAATTCCAATGTGGTGTGAAATCTCCCTTAATAGTTACTTCTTTCTTGCGCACATCCACTGTGTACTCTGTCAACCCTGCATTTTAAAGGCTCTTTCTCTTTTAGCAGGGCCCATATTAAAATTTATTTAATTAAAAAATGTTTTGAATTAAATGCATAGATACAGCTAGGATGGTTAAATTTAGATGTAAACCCACGCTTAATAAAATAAATATTATTTTTGATTTTGTTGAATTCAGAAACATGTGCTAATATTTTTACAACAATTATACATTGAATAGATTGATTTTTATTTTTGCATTTGTTGCTACTAAAGCCTATTTCATGACTATATAAATAATATAATAAAAATTCTTAGAAAGTGAACTATGAAGTAACTCAATTCTACAAAACTTTTTTAAAAGATGAGAATTATTCTTTACTTATATAATATTTAATTATTTTATTTATAATAGACGTGAAATTTGAAAAAAAATTTGGTTATACAAATCCTTTTCAAGTTTTGATATTATTTTAAAAAGTGAATTAAGAATGCAATTCAATCTTATAAAATCAACTTATAAAGTGAAATTGTTTTACATTTATATATATACCCACACTAAAAAATTTAAATGAGTCCTACATGTAGAACCAGAAGATTAGATAGATATATAACCATTATAAATACAGATTTACTTTCCATTAGTTGGTTGGTTAGGTTGAAGATAGACCAATTCTTTTTAAGGTTTAGTGATCGTTTGAAACGTAGTGATCACAAACGAATTTTATTTTTTCTAATAAAGTTTTCATTTGTTCGTACAAAGATTGAAGATAGTTTTGAAACCGATTGTGATGACAAATTTACATTTAAGGACAAAATAGAAAGCTGAGTTGGGAACCTACCAGTCATTTTGGATACAACTCTGGAAACTCTTCCCCTGCACTTATTGCATCCCATACTTGCCCTTATCACTACAACCTGAAACTGTTTATCGAACATTACAAAATAAAGCACACAACCTTATTTCTTTCCATGATTTATACTTTATAGTAAACTTTATTTACTCTCCCAAGCCGCAAAGAAGAAGAGACTAAAAGAGAAATAAAACAAAGTGGATTAACAAGCATTAGGAATAAATAAATAATCTAACGAAAAGAGAGATATTAAGACTATGGATAATGAATTGAGAGAATGATAAAAAACCTACCGAGGGAAGAGTCAAGTTCTCCATGTGTAAAAGGGAACGGTTATCATTTTCCATGCAAATCTCTGTTTTGTTAATGGCCATATGATTCTCTCCTTGTTATGGAACCAACACCATCCAATAACGTTTTTCTTCATCACCTTCTCGTTTTAAACCTTCTATTTCAATTATGCCATGTTTGGATAAACAAATATAATTTGAATAATTCAATGTTCCATACGCAAAAGCTGCCAAGCATTTGATTTGACATAAGAGATTGGCTGGCACGTTCCAACAACCAAATTTAACTAGTAGACTTTTTGGCTTCATGCTTCTCACTTTTATTTTTATTTTTATTTTTTTTAACAGATAAAGGTGTTTTATAAATTTAAATGGAGATAGATTAGTTCAAACCGCATATTACTAATGAAAGACTTAAATACTGATTATTATCCGAGAGAAACCATTCAAACCAATGAAAGAGTAGCGTGGAGAAAGTGTTATTTTATTTTACCAATGGAATTCTAAGTCAATTATTATAGATGTGTTTAACCATAGAAATCAAAAACGACGGGAAAAGACCTTGTAACAGCTTGTCAACCAAATACTCCATTTTTATTATGGAGGTGACCATCAAAGGTGAATCCAGTTACTCAAGTAATCTACTCAACATATCAAATGGGTAAACGTGTTGGTTAGACGTTCACGAAATGTCCAGCTTGAAAAGGGGATGGAAAATAAATGATGAAATATTTATATTACGGATTTCAACGAGTAAATATATATTGATGGTATAAATTGTCATTTAAAAAAAAAATTAATGAAATTTATAATAATCATTAAGTTATATCATCTCATTTTATTATTTATTTATTTTATCATGTCATTTATTAATATATTACGTTATCTCTATTTTTCTTTTCTTTCTCTCTTCTTTCCACCCTATTTACCCCCAAAATATAGTCAACGATTAATATTTTCCTTCTTTTAGAAAATCATAACTCTAATATAAATTCCGATAGGGTTAAGCGCCGATTACAAGAAAAATTTGATCTTGCGAGTGTTGTCTTAAAACGCAATTTAGTATTTGATTGATAGTTATATATGGAGATGCTTGCTCATACGACATCTTTAACCTGCACCGAGGTAAGTTTATTTTATCCATTCTCGTTATTAAATTCTCTTCATTAGAGCAATGGAGAACTTTCTACGAATGTTAACCACAAAATGAATGCAGAATATACATAAAAAGCATCTGACCTTGACCATCAGCATTAACGTCTCCGTTGCTGGCCATCACGGGTTTGGAGATTCCCTTCAAAAGCAATTGCATTATTCTAATAAAAATAAATTCTTCATATACAAGGCAAAGATCAAAACTTAGCTGAGCATTTGATTCCAAATAAACAATAAATAAATAAATAAATAACCTCCTTTCTTTTTTCATTTGGTAAACAGAAGGATTTTAAACTATTAGGGATACAGGTCGAGCAGATTTGTCCAGCACTCATACTACAAATTTCACAAGATCGTGATATTCTTGAAAAGGTTGAGGTGGGTTGTGACAAATTCTACTTGGATACTCGACATAAATTTCTAAAGAATGGATCCAGCATGATCCCGTCTCAGGAAGAAAAAATCCAGAGTGAAATAATATCTGGAGAGAAATTTGTTGAATAAATCCATATCACTTAACTCCATCATTGCCTGCATAACAATACAACATGCCGTTTAATTAAATTAACAAATCTTTCTCATTGTTAATAATAAAAAAAAAAATCAGCTAAAGCACACGCTTATTAAGTATCATCAATTTGGTGCCACATCTTACAATTCCATCAACTTTCATTATTCTTATCAGTGCAAGTAAGAAACTAACTTTACATTGATCCATATCAGTGTATCATTGCTTAGTTATCAATAGTTCATTTATTAATGTTCACAAATCTGCTACCATTTGTCCTCTAATTCAAGATGAGGAGGGCATTGGCATCTAAAATAATATTGCATTATCACCATGCCAGTAAAACTAGAACATAGCAACCAATAACTTATATATACGCAAAACAATAGAGCCAAAAATTATATACAAACAACAACCCCACTTCCACACTGTGATACTTTATTCATCGGAATTTTCCCTTCTGAAACATTCCACTTGCTGGTAATATCTGATTATACGCTTTAGCATGGAAGAGTATAAATATTAGGTTCAAAATGTATATAGATATGAATATGAATTCTAAAACTCAAATTTCCGATACAGCTATGGACAGTGCTAATAAATCAAAGAAAATGACAGCATTAAAAAAGTGTCCAGTAAGGCAGAAGATAACCAAAATATATTCCATAGCAGCTATTTACGGAAGCATATTCAGAATTACTTTTGACAAAAGTCAAAATTATACAAGAAGACTGAGCAAACAGAGATTTCAAAACTTATATAGTGATAATTCACAAACAACCTTCAGAATGGAACGAGATCTATTCCCACTGGGATCTAGATTATGCATAGTGTTTAATTTAGATGAAGATAGGGAAGAATATTTTGGAGAGAATTTTAAAGAATGACAATGCTTTATTAAAGAGAGTGTGAAACACTAAAACATAGGTTCGACTTAAAATCCATATACGCAGACTCACAAAGTCACAATTTACATGGTGGAGACTGTTTCCTAGGCTAATATTAATTGAGTGCAACTTCCTAGACACCAAAACCCATGAGTATTAAATGCATATATCATGTGATACAGGAACATACCATTTCCCATGTACATTAACTAGAACTTTTGCCAGCACTCTCATATTAACTTTTCTAAAAACTAATTTACAACTTATGCTTAAACTAACTTTTAGTACACAACTAAATTTAGCTTATGGAGAAACTAACTTCATTTTTCCTTCTTATTTCCTTTCCCTATAAATGCTTTTGGAGGAGTTTACCCAAACAAGTCCCAAGCTTTTTTTACAAACAGCTTACAAAGCTTTTAAGCCTATTACAAATAAACATTCTTTTTCATCTTAATAATTTCATATCCACTAAACACAGAAGAAAAGGCAATATAGGCATGATTAGAGCAATTAGTTAGAGGTTAATACAGTTAGACGTGGACACAACTGGAAATTGCTAGAGTTCCCGGGGAAAGTCACAGAAGACGTCAGCAGCTGCAGCAAGTCCCTACAGGACATTCATTATTAACAATAGGTTTAATTGCCCATTTGATCCCAACTACGTATATACAATCTTTGTGTTTTAATCCCTACACCTAAACACTACTCGTTTTAGTATCTATACATACACATTTTAGAGGTTATACACTATACCGTCATCTGCTACTTCACTATAGCATTTTTGGGGCCAGTCACTATAGATTTTATAGAGTCAGCTGCTACATGCCACTATCACGGATTAATAACTATGGTCCTGGGTATCACCAACAAAGACAGAAACTGGTAACTTGGTTGTGGGAGGGTAGCTAAAAAACATTATGAATGAAAAAGAAAATATTTAGGAGTTAGAGATTAGAGTGGTTATAACTTTGAGAAGAAAAAAAAAATCATGAAAGAATCTCATTGAGAATTTCTAGAAGTACACTTTTGTACTCCATGCCAAGCAGACATTATCATAAGTCTGTGAAAGCAAGAAAATTATATAGTCATTGCAAAAAGAAAAGCTAGTAATATACAATTCGAAATGAATGATTAGTTGATTACATCACTTAACTTACCTCATTGTGTACATATTTGCCATATCTTCCACATATAAGACATAAAATCACCTGAGATAGGAAAACTCTGCTCATTTCTGTTTTGATTCCAAGCGTGTTTGGCTCCGCAATGTGTTGCATCTTATGCTCGTCTGAACAAAAGCATCAATTTGTAGATTCTACATTATTACTGAATTTGACATGGTTTTATCTTTATCCTTGACGAGTCAAAACACACGCTCCATTGTATTCTTGTTCATAGCCTTAAGTAAGCAGTCATGGCCTTAAGAAAGCAGTCAAACTCAAAAAGACAAATATACATGGCTAAACATACAGTACACTGGAAATGAGAAAAACAAAATGCAAAATATACAAAAGCAGATCTGCCTAAACTTGCAGTCTGAGAAACAAACCAGAATCTGTAAGAGTGCCTTCACACATTCTGAAGGATTAGCTTCCTAATCTCCATAGATACAATCGAAATAAAAATCATAGCAGAGACAGACTTCCAGCTAATTACAATTTTCTTAACAAAGGAAGAATTGGCGTATGTATGTATAAGCTCATGAAAGAAAACCCAACCACTTTGATTAATTATACAAACCTATATTCCCTTGTACAAGACTACTGAATCAAACATACATAACTTCCAGCTCCATCTCAAACTTCAGAAATCAAAAGAAATTGACACAAAAAAAAAAAAAAACTCTAATGCAAAACACAAAAATTAATGTTCATCTGGAGAACCTCCTCCTACTTCCAGAAACATCTCTGCGACTCTGCACCTTCTCCCCTCTCAAAGCCCTCTCTCTCTCCTTCTCCTTTCTCTCCCTCTTCAACCTCTCTTCCCTCAATTCCTCGATCGTCTTCCTCTTCTTCTGACCCTTACTCTCTCTCCTTTCACCGTCATCCCTTTCATCCTTAGCACCATCATCACTAGGTTTCCTCACATACCACGGCAACTGAACCCCCTTCCCCGCAAGCCCATACCCAAGCCTGTACTTCTCATCCTCCGGGCCCACAACAACAGCGGGCCGTGCCTCCTTCTCCTTCTTCTTCTTCTTCGCCGGTGGGCCTTCCTCCCGAATGGGGTCGAAAATCTTGATCCCTTCGAAGAGGTTGATGTGGCCAGGGTCGGAAGAAGGCTCGGGTTCGGACGGAGGCGGTGGAATCAACGGCTCCAAACCTTTGGCGGCGCGGAGGCGCTCGAGGCGGAACTCGGAGTCACGTTTTCGGGCCTGCTCGCGCTTCAGCTGCTCCTCCCTGGCGGCTTGCTCCTCGTCGCGACGGACTTTCTCTCGGTTCTCGTAATTGTAAACGTTCCAACTCTTCTGAGGAAGAATGTTGAGACCTCCGTGACCTCCCATTCTCGATCGATCGTGCTGGACGGTGAAGATTACCCTACGAATTGAAAAGACGGAGGAATTTCCGATGTTCTGTGCTCTACAAACCCTAATCCCCAAAACGAAGAATCAAGCCATGGCGTAAATTTTGTACTTTCTGGAACATCGATTTTTTTTTTCTTTAAAAGTTTAAATATGTTTTGACTCAAATTCAAGATAAATTTATTTTTTGTCTTTTAAATTTAAAATTGTTATTTTTAATTTTTATAATTTTAAAAAATTTTATTTTATTTTCTTAGATCACTAATAACATATTTAAAAATAATTAATTAAAACAATTATGTAATATTAATCGAATTTAATGTGATATTTTTACTAATAAGAATACTAATATATAGATTTTATATAATAATATTTGATAAATTTCTTAATAAAATTTGAATATAAGAACTATAATAAATTTTTTTGAAATTATAAGGACTAAAAATAATAATTTTAAATTTGAGGGACAAAAATAGAACTATCCTAAATTTGAGGGACTAAAAACATAATTAAGCCTTCTTTAAATTATAATTATCATATTTATAAATTTATTAATTATTAATGATAGTGATAGATAAAAAAGTATATTTATATTATTATATAAAGAGATATTCTTTTTTTTTATATTTGCTTTGAATTTTATTTTCTTACGAATTCTTTTTTTTTTTTTTTTTTTTCGAATTTTTTTTTTTTTTTTTTTTTTAATTTTATCAAAAAAATTTATATATCTTTTTTAAGTATCAAAATTTCACTAAATGTATAATAGTTTTTATAAAGTATTTTTGATTTTTTTTTCAACTTTGATCGTCACTTTTCTGTATAATAACTATTTTTTTTTACGTAAAACATATAGAAATATGAAATATTTCAATTTACTAATTATTGATAATAAAAAAGGTAGTATCTTTATTAAAAATATGAACAGTTTTTTTTCTTCTTATTTGATCTTTGAGATATACATATTGATGAAAATATTAAAATATAATAAAAAAATATAAATACTCTAAATAAATATAAATATATATATATATATATATATATATGTATATATATCATTATAAATATAAGTAAATGAGAGGAAGTTATTTTAAAAATAACTTTTAATAGAGTTATTTTATTTAATAAATTATAATAAATATTAAAATTTAACAATTTAATAATTAAATTAAAAAATTTATTGAAAAGAATATAATTCATAATATTTTATTAATTTAAAAAATTACTTAATATTTTATACTCGAATTCAAATTTATATTTATGTAATAAAATATGAAATAACTTTCAATATTACATAATTATCGATAGTCGCACAAGTTGCCAAAGTTTTGTTTATAAGAAAAATGTGTAATAAAACATTTTTCAATATACACATTGAAAGAGAAAGAGAGACGAACAAAGAGATTGGATAGATGAGATTCTTTCAAAAGTTGTGTATTTGATTCATATAATTTTATTTTATTAATTTTTCTTTTTCTAGTTATTATATAAGAGATTTTTTTACTCTAGACTTAGTATACATAAATTTATTTTATTCAATAATTTATGTTTTATATCAAATTTTAATAATTTAATTGTTAAATTTAAAGTTCTCAATACACAAAATTAAAGTTGCAAATTTTTAAAGATTTTGAAAACTATTTAATATTTCGTTTCATTAATTCAATTTGAAGAATAAAATATTTTTATGATTATTCGTCAATTTGAATTAATGAAACAAAGTATCAAATGATTTGATCTATACATTTCAATGATTGGATCATTGAGATTTGATATAGAACATGAGTTATTGAATATTAGACTTATTCTTAAACTAAACGAATCTCCCCCTCTCTCTCTCTTATATATATATATATATACATGTAAGTACTGCAAACTATTTTTTGTCTCCATAAATTAAAATTTCTAGATCTAATGCCGTCATTAACAATAGTGCTCGGTGAATTACATACGATACGATAGAGAGTATGTCTTTCATTACTTAATAATATTCTCTATTGAAATTGTAAAATAAAAAACTTTTAAAAGTTATATTTATAATAATTTTTAATTAATTTAATATAATTGATTAATTGTATAAAAAAATTGACGACAAAAACTTCTTCAAACTAATCATTATTTTGAATATTTGTCTATTCTTTTTTATTGTAAACAAGGATGAAGAAAAATAAGTTGTGAAGTAGATACTCACATCAAATTTGACTTAGTTTACTTCATTTACTAAAAATGATAGATTTAAAATTTATAAAGTAATTGTTTAACTAAAATGGTGAAATCTTATTGCTTTTAACTTTTATGTGCTAAGTAAAAAATTATTATTAATGAAATTTAATGATATAAAATCAATTGTGAGATCATTTAATAACTTTTTTTTTTAAAGTTACTATGCTTAAGAAAATAGTTTCTTTAAGTTATACAAGGTAAAAATAAGTTAAAACATAATCGATACACAATCTATAACAATATATAAAATATATAAAGGTTTTATAATTATTCATATGCACATTTATTGTATGATATTTTTATTCTTGTAATTACGTTCAAAGTATTCACTTTTTTTTTAATATAAATTATCTATTATTTTGTAACATCTTATGTTATTTTTATTTCTTATTTTTCTTTATGAAGAAGTAAAAATAACCATAAGGATTGATTCAAACTATTTATATATATATATATATATATATATA